TTTTGTTTTCGTGTGTGGCTTCCTATACCTCGTGTGTTAATTTGAATTTCGCGCTCGTGTGTTGTGTATAGGCATTTTGACATTTTTTGACAGTTGTGTCAGAAAGCGCCGACGCTTTCGGTGTGTCATTAGTGCATTGTTTACGTTGTGAATAGACGCGTGTTTGTGTTTTTTCCGGTTTTTTACGGCGGGTGTAGCAATTTAAAGGTGAAAATGAGGTGAGTTTTGTTTTAATTTTGTATTTTTTCGTCGTTATTTTTCGTGTTGTGCTAGTTTGTGTGTGTTGGTCCGTGAATTAATTTATTTTGTGTTCTTTTTCCTTCAGTGGTGCTTCGGGATTTACTGTTGTAGGCATTTTGGGCGTCGATGGCTTTATTCGCGATGTGTCGATTCCGTTGGCAGAAGGCGAACGGACCGTTCGTCTTGTTGATTGGGATGGAACCGTGCTTTTACGTATGTTTACGTGTATAGTTGTATTTGTTTTGTTTTCAATTTATTAACAAAAATTTGTATTTCTTTTCGTTTTAGCGTGTTTGAAGTGTTATGCTGGTGTTGACGATTCTGGATTAGCTGACGATAAGCGTATTGCTGGTGGCGATATCGCGCCCGTTGAAACTATGGGTGAGTTTTTCCTTCTTCTTTTTTGGTTGTTTTCCGTATGTGTTAATTGTTTTCATTTTTGTTTTTTCGTTTTAGTTGACACCACACCCGTTGTCGAAGCTATCGAGTATGGTCCCGGTGAAGGCACGAGTAGCGGTAGTGTGCGTCGTCGTGCATCGATAGTGGTAACGCGTATTGATTCCGATGATGGTGACGAAGATGCGGTTAGTTCGGCTGCTTTGTGGTCCGGGGCCAATAAGCGTCGCCGCAACCATTTTGGTCACCTGGATGTTTCTCTGGTCGACGAACCAAGAACTGTTCGACGTGGTAATCGGAATATGATGCATTATAGTAGAATCCACAATGTTCCGCTCGAAATGTCTTCGCCGCTGTATGGTCTCGACTCCAATACCAACCCGGTTAGTCAATGGTTGGAGAGGGATATTTTTCGTCATTTGCGTATGAACATGCTGGATGGCTATATGCTGCAAGATTGGCTCAAGGCTGCTGGGCAAGCCTCCGGTGTCAGGCCAAACGTGGTCGTAAAAAATAGTTTTAAGTTAGATTTTTAAATTTATTTTTTAAGTCTCTTTTTAAATAAATTTATTTCAACTTCTGTATCCAAATTGTCTGGGTCTTTTCATTTTTTGTGGCTGGTTTCGTGTTGTCAATTCCTCTGCGATTTGGTGTAGTTTGTAGAATTCTGTGACGTTTACGTGATAAACCAATTTGTACACTTCGTAGGTCGTGTGTGCTGTGGCTAAATTGTTAAAAAGGAGTGGCACTTTTTCGTCGACTGGATTAGTTTGTTTGTGGTTGCATTGTTTTGGATGTTGGGCGTCTCAGATGCTGTAATCTGAGCTGTCATAATTGATATGCCAAGTATTGATAGGATTACTCGTTTCATTGTGGCTGTTTGTGGGAAAGAATTCAAGCCTGTTAGTTTTGAACGTTAAAAAAAAAAGTTTGTATGAATCAATCTTATAGACTACAGTGGGTAAATGGTTATTTGTTGAGCTAGGTCATGATATTATAGTTTTGTTTAAGTTGTTTTTTGTATTGGAAGATTTGTCTAACGATGCTGTTTTGTTCTTCAGGCAAATGGTTAATGAAATGCAGAGCTTTTGCTAATTTTATATAGTCGAAGTTAATTTTCTTAGTTTTTCTGCCGTCTTTATACGTTACGTATTTTTGATCGACCGCTATGACCTAAATGAGTAGTATTTTGACAGTTGACAGACGAACACACTTTTGTTCAGCTCCGCATACATTTCTGTGAAAATATTAAAATTTATTGTTTTCGACTGAATTTTCTCGAAAATAATTATTATCAAACCGAATTTTAACGTAATTTACTGAAGTTTTGTTCATTTATTGCGTTTTTCAACGATTTTTGAAGAAAATCAACTATCGTGTACTGTTAGTGTCGATCCAAAGTGCATTTTTTTTCTTCTCTCGTTTCTTCTCTGCGGCGATATAGTGAAAAGTGCACAATCTGATCGCTCAACGCATTTTTCCAATCAAATTTCCGACGATTTTCCGATAGTTTTGCTGTGACTTTCGGAAAATTCAGTGAGAATTGTGTTTTTAGCAGGTGTTTTGCCGGCTTTTGTTCGACATAACCTCGCATTTGATGATTGTTTGTGCTGAGTCAAGGTGAAGTGTTTCAACATACCGTGAATAAATTTACACTAATTGACCGCACAAAACGCATTCTATAATAATTTCCGGCGATTTTCCGACACACAGACAGGGTTTGCGGGAAATTTAAGTGAAAATTGTGACTTTTCCGACAGATTTCGATTGCTATTGTTTGACACACATTGTAAGTACATTCATTGTATTCACGGTTTACTCGCGCCATCTATTGTGTAATAGAAAGTGATTCGAACGATCGAAACCGGTTTAACCGTGTGCGGTCTGAATTCTTTAGTTAACCCTATGCAGTAAATAGGGAATTAATTCGAGATTTTATAGACATAGGAATTTATTGAGATAAATTAATTTTCTAGATATTTTCGAATATCTGTGAATTGAATATTTCATACAATTTATATCAAATAAAATCGTGAAAACCCCCCATTCGATTTGAAGTAATTTTATTGATTTTGCTGATATATTTCTATCAAAACAATTTAATTTATTAGAATCTCTGAATATTAATTGATAATTTCTTGACCAATTCATCCCAATTGAATTGGTATAGTAACTAGGGTGTCAATTCAAATTTTATAGACATCAGAATTTGTTGAAATAATTGATTTTCCGGATATTTTTGAATATCTTTGCGTGTGAATTAAATATTTCATACAGTTTTGATCGAATAAAATCATGAATATTGCATGATCGATTTGAAGTAATTATATCTATTTATTTCTACCAAATTAGTTTAACTTACTAGCATTTTGCATATAAATTGACATCTTTCAACCAATTCGTCCCAATTGATACGGTAGTTAGTGTATAGTGGCTAGGGTGTCATTTCAAGTTTTATAGACATCAGACTTTATTGAAATTAGTTAATTTTCCAGATATTTTCGAATATCTTTGCGTGTGAATTAAGCATTTCATACAGTTTTGATCAAATAAAATTGTGAACATTCCCTAATCGCTCTGTAGTAATTATATTGAGTATTTCTACCAAGATAGTTTAATTTACTAGCATTTTTGCATGTAAATTGACACCTTTCGACCAATTCGTCCCAATTGAATAGGAAGTTAGGGTGTAGTGACTAGGGTGTCAATTCAAGTTTTATACACATCAGAATTGATTGAATTATTTAATTTTCCAGATATTTTCGAATATCTTTGTGTGTGAATTAAAATATTTCATACAATTTAGATAAAATAAAATCGTGAACAATCCCTAATCGCGTTGAAGTAATATTACTGATTGAATTTTACGCTTTTTCTTTAACTTATCACAACTTTTGGGAAATTATACATTTTCCACACACTCTGATAAATTCACAAAGAGAATTTTGACTATATTTTTATAATAAAGAAATTATTACTTCTTTTATTATTCTTTTTTTTTAAATTCTATAAATTTACCTATTTCAGTGTACCAATCAAAAGACAAAGACGCAAATACTGATAAGTCGACTTTAATGGACACCACTGCTACCCCACAAAGGAAGCAGGTAGGGAGTCAGCTGAAGTCAGACGTAATCACAATATCGAACACAATACTTGCTCCGCCAACTCCAATGGACACCACTGTTCTTCCACAAGAGGGACAGGTAGGAAGTCAGCTGGGGTCGGACGGGTCCTTACCCTCCTCTTCTAAGGAAAACGCTTCTCTATCGATCGCCAAGGGCCAGATGGATACTCAGTTAGAGAAGAATGAAGCATCTGCTTCAACTGATCAGACTGTAACCACTGCCCAAAGTGACCAGAAGAAGGTGAAACAGCCAAAGACAGAGGAGGATAGGATAAAGGCTCGTGAAGCTCAAAAAAGACGCCGTCATAGAAATAGTGAGCGTAGAAAAGAGGGGAAGAAACAGACAGAAGGTAACGGTAATGGACCATCTTTGGGTGGGTCATCTGTCACTGAAGCTGTACCTTCGACTTCAAAATTTGTTGGGGACACATCAACGTCTACTTCAAAAGGGGTTGTGACGAAAAGTGGACCCTCCAAAATATTAGAACGCGTTCAAAATGAACACAATAAAACTTTAGCGAGTGGTTCCGCGAAACGTAGACGTCCCAAAGACGAAACTCCCCCAGAACCATCGCTGCACAAACGTCGTGATGCCAAGGACACGCCAGAGAATGTGGAAGCTCGTAGCTACGCACAGACTTTGACGAAGGCTGTCTTGACCATGGCAGTAGTCCACGTCCCAGAGCCGGGTCTTAAGGAGGACATTACTGCAGAACAATTCTGCAAGATGTTCACTACTCTAAATGACCTAATGTTTGAAGATGTGGATTCTGGTATGATCGGAACCGTTTTGCCCGGCTTCAAGACATTCCATGCAGGCGGAGTCGCAAAGATATATTGCGACGATGCCTTTGCACGTTCTTGGCTAGAGGGCGTGGTAGACAGACTCAGCACACTGATGAGCATGCCACTTATCGTTTGCCAGCACGATAAGGTACCGCGCCCTCCAAAATTTAGTGCGTATTTCCCGTACACCAAACAAGAGACCGGCAAGATTTTGAATATGCTAAAATTAGCAAACCCAAAATTAGCCGATGTCTCTTTCAAAACTGTACGTCGATCAGCCCACTGAAAAAGGAGTCCACCTCCTCCTTGCAGTTCGGCCTTCTGACAAGGCGACTCTGGTGGAAAATGGACCAGCTTTCAAGTTTGGGTTAGGTACGGCTCATCTAAGAGAGTTCACGCCCAAAACAAAGAAAGCTCCACCGATCACCAAGAATCAAGAGGCTTCAGAAGGACTCACTTCAGACTTCGAAGCTGAGATTCGAGCGTTGAACATCGACACAAACACCGAGGCTGATATGCTTTCCGAAGAGGATGAATTGTCGACAACTGTGATTCAAAACCCCACAGTTGCAGTCGAGACATCCACACTCAGTCTTGATGATGAAGGTTCCGTCCAGGACATGAAGTCGAAGACAGAAACATCTGTTACTGACACAGCCGAGGCGGAACCTCCAGATCAGTCGCTTGAGAATGAAGACCGCGGAAGGGGACACATGTAAATATATCCCCCAAGTGATGTCACATTCGTTACATTGTCCTCAAAGAACTCCTTTTATATAGTCTAATGGCTAATACAAATGTGAGATCAACATCTAACGCGACATCTTATGTCAGTATTTCAAATCAATTGAATACTATGGCATGGATTAGCGTAAATCAAATCAATTTGCACCATAGCAAAGCAGCGACTGCACTAATGTGCAAAACGTTATGTGACATGCAAACAAAAAAACAAGACACAATTTATTTGTGTCAAGAACCATGGACTGTGAAAAACAAGGTCAGTGGTGTTGACACGGATAAGTTGAAGCTGTTTTGTTTTAACAATTCTACCCAGCCAGTCAGATCATGTATTGTGACGACTAGAGACATACAAGTGACACTCTTGCCACAGTATAGTTCTAGAGATATCACTTCCGTGAGAATTTTAACTGGAGCAAACTCGCATATTATACTGAGCTCCTTCTATCTGGAGAACCCTACACATGGGGATGTCCCCGGAGAAGGTTTCAAGGCTCTATACGACTTCTCCAAAGCAAACAATCTCCCATTACTTATGGGCGGTGATGTCAATGCCCACCATACGGTGTGGGGCAGTTCAGACACAAACCGTAGGGGAGAAGAAATTCTTGAATATATAGCAACAACAGATCTAATTATTCTAAACAAGGGCAATTCACCTACCTTTGTTACAAGGAACAGATCTGAAGTATTAGATATTACACTGGCCACACAGTCATTATCGAATTTAGTGGAGGACTGGCATGTGGTAAGAGAGGACAGATTATCCGATCACCGGGAGATCAACCTCAAACTGTTATGTGCCAAAAAACCTTCAGAGAAGTTAAGAAACCCTAAGAATACGAACTGGGCTAGACTGAGGAGACGGATCGGAAGAAATGCTCATAATCTTAGTACCTTGTGTCAGGATCTCTCTACACGTGAGAGAATTGACCATATAGCTGAGACATTTGAGCCAACTTTGAGGTCTGCATTTCATCAGTCATGTCCAGAACGGGAACTTAAGAGGAAAGCAAACAACTGGTGGAATTCAGATCTAGCTCGGCTGAGAAAGGAATCAAGACGGCTATTAAG